TGATTTGGTGTCTGGCATACATGCCAACCTGTACGTCCACATTCAAGTTCGTTGTTGCGTGTAAATGAACGAGCAATATGTTTAAGATTTGTAACAGCTCGAACTGCTGATTCCCAGCTGGAAAATCGGCTGAATCTTTCAACTCCAATGCATGTCTGGTTCAAGACAACCTTTTTACAGGCGATGGTACTTGGACGCACCTCTGGATCATTAGGTAGGAGCTCTACATTTCTTTCTATATGGTTCTGGTCAGTTGACAGATATCTTTGTTTCAGGAATTCTGGCCCAGACATCCACAATGAATCATTTAACTCAGTAGCTAAGATAGACCTAGTTGCTTGGTCAGCTGGGTTCTTCTCAGTTGGAACATACATCCACTGGTCAGGTTTTGATGTTCTATGTATCTTGCTGACCCGGTTGCAGACATAGGTGTGGAAACGACGTTTCCGGTTGGTGATGTAACCTAATACTACTTTACTGTCACAGTAGAAACAGGACTCATCGAGTTCTAGTTGTAGCTCCTGTCTCACATAGTTTTCAACTTCTGTAGCAAGAACTGCTGCGCATAGTTCTAGTCTGGGAACTGTGGAAGCGGCTTTAGGGGCTAGTTTTGCTTTGCCCAGTATGAGGCGAACATGAACCTCTTCATTGATGCCAACTGTTGTCAAGTAACAAGCAGCACCAATTGCCTTATTTGAGGCATCTCCAGATGTATGTATCTCTCTTCTAAGTACTTTTAAAGCTGGGAATGGTGTGTAGGAACGAGGTGTATGCATAGATGCTAATGGACTCAAAGAATTTCTCCATTTCTGCCACTCACTGAGCAGCACTTCTGGTAATGGTTCATCCCAGTCCGCGCCATCTTGAGTCATTTCCCGCAGAAGCATTTTGCCTTTGATAACCACTGGCGCTGCCAAACCTATTGGGTCATAAACACCATTTACCTCAGACAGAACCATCCTTTTTGTACTTGGTTTGATGCTGCCACTCTGAATGTAAACGAATCTGACTTCAAATCCCAACAGACACCTAACGTTCTTTATATCGCTTCCTCATTTTTACTTGAAAGATCAGACACTGTTAGATTCGGAGCTAACTCTTCTTGATCAAACGATGCTAGCACCTCTGCACTAGATGACGCAAACTTATGCAACCTAATGTTGGCAGTAGCTAGCATATCACGGGTCCGTTTCAATAAGTTGACTGTATCCTCCACAGTTGGAAGGGATTTCAGCACATCATCCATATAGAAATTATTTTCAACCAGATCTCGGACATCACTGCCAAACTGCTTCTCAGCTTCCTGAGCAGTTTTCCTAAGTCCACTGATAGCCACTGCCGGCGAGGGTTTGTTTCCAAAGATGTGGACGGTCATTTGATAGGTAACAATATCGGCATCAGGATTGTTGTTTTCATACCACAGGAAGCGTAGAAATCTGCGGTGCACATCTTTTACCTTGAAGGCATAAAACATCTGCTCGATGTCTGCTGTTACTGCTACCGGCTCTTGACGAAACCGGATCAACACTCCGAGGAGCTGGTTCATTATGTCTGGTCCACTTAACAATGCTTTATTTAAAGAGACCCCTGAATATACTACCCTCAACTTGTTGGGATTCTGCGCGTGGTACACCCCAAAGTGAGGTAGGTACCATTTTTCTTCATAGTCGTCTGGTCCCTCGTTCACCCGTTCAGCAAGATTCTTCTCCAAAATCTTCCCCATGAAGTTAAAATAGTGCTCCTTCTTGATAGGATTCTTTTTTAAAGTGATAGACAACGACTTCACCCGGTTTTTAGCCTGCCGTCTATTATTCGGCAATTTTAGTCTGTCGCTTTTAAAAGGCAGTGGTGCAGACCAATTTCCTTGGCTGTCCTTAATCATTTCTCGGCTCATCAGCTCCATAAATTCTTTGTCTTCAGCAGAAGCGCCCAACTTTTCATCAAGCCGATAGATCTTCGCCAATGCGTTCGGGCCAGCTGTTTCTTCTTTCTTGAATCTCAATGGTGTTCTGGCAAGGTTCAAAACTTGCTGACCTCCGTCCACATTTCAATCTTGTATAAAACGTGCTGACCACATCTTTTCTGACGTGGGCTCCATTCCGAAAAACCTCCCCCATGATCACCCAACCCAAATCCAATCTTTGAGCCCATGGCAGGTGATTTGGTCCGTTGATGGATTCTCTGACTTTGTGGGCTTGTGCTAAATCTCTACCCACTAGCATGAGGATTTCGGGATCTGGATATAATCGGGGTATCTTCCCAGCGATTGGACGAAGACGTCTAAATGTTTTCGCCACTTCTGGTGTTGCGACTTCATTAATATTGCCTGGGATGTTCTCACACTCATAAACTCCCGGAACAGTCATCTTACAGTCTTCGTTTATGTATTCGATTACTAATCCAGACATCTTTCTGCCTTTCATCGTTTCCTTACCACCTAGAGTCTTAAGGGTGTAATCCACTATTGTGCCTCTAGCGCCAAGCATATCAAAGAGTTCTGATTTCGCAACCGAATGGTTGCTCTGGTCGTCTATCAAGATATAAGCCCGGATGGATTTAGATGGATTGTCCTTAGAATATAGCTTTACCAAGCAGATTTTTGAGCAAGACCGGCTAATCGAAAACTTGTCACCACAAATTGCGCTACACTGGTTTCTCACAACCAAAGTTTCTTGTATCTCAGGTTTTTTTTTTCCTGTGAAGACTGGTAGGATGCTTTTCGTCACATTTGCCGCATGCAGCCCTGTTCTTACACTTCCGAGAACGGTGTCCTCTTTTTAAACATCCGAAACACAGTCCATTTCTTTTGATGAAATCTTCTTTTTTCGAATCTTGCTTACCTCCAAACTGATAGCAATTTGCCAGATTATGACCTGCTCCTTTACACCAGCTGCACAAGGGCTGTTGTACATCGGTAGCATAGGCTCTCACTTTGAATGCCGCTACGGAGCTCTTTGGCTTCTTCATAGAATTTGGTTCATCCGGGTCTCTTTCGTCTTTAACTCTCTCATTTAGAAATTCTCCAAATAATTTGAAAGTTGGAAACACTCCTTTATTTTTCTTGTGCGTGGTAACTCTGTCTCTCCACTTATTTATCAAGTACGGCGGCAGCTTCTCTACTATAGGGTTTAATGCAAGTGGTGTGTCCAACACTGAAAGATGGGGCAAGTCTTCAAACTGCGAGATGGCATCTTGCACCATGTCATTCAATTCCGATAGTTGCTTAATGTCTCCACTTGTTACTGGTTTTAAATTTTCTAATCTGCTGCGAATTGTAGATGATATTATAGTTGGGCTGCCAAAGCGTTCTGCTAGCTCAGTCCAGGCATCTTTTTGCGCAGCCTAAGCCTGTCTACCAGACGTCTAGGTTCACCTGAGGTGTATTTTCGCAGGAACGTCAACCTTTCCATTGGCTCCACATGAGCTGCTTTCATCATCGCTTCAAATGTACGCTTCCATGGCAGGTTCTTGGACTGGTAGCCTTTGTCTAGCTAGAAGCTGCAAAATGTCGGAAAGTTCTTTCCCTGGTTTCTGACTCTCATCATCTTCTTCCTTGACTACCTTTCTTAGGGCATTCGCCTCAAAAATCTTAGTTTGGATTTCAGTTATCTCTTGCTGATTCAACTTCATTTCCATCTCTTTTAGCCTCAATTATAATTCGTGATTCTCTTTTAACAACCTTTGTTCAATTAAATTCTGAGAGGTGCTGCTCCTTACAGATTCGGCTTCTTGCTGACATGATGCATGTCGATCATCCATAATTAATGTCGAAATATTGAATCTCAAGACGATGGCGTATATTTCAATACTTGGAGTATGTATTATACTTTCTTATCTGAGATTAATCAGTGGACCTTTCGGTTTTTGGAAAACGCTCCGTACTACTGAGCCAGATGTCCATATAGCGACCACCAAATACCAAAAGTGTTATAGGAAACTACGCAAAACGGAACTTGACCTGGACTTTCTCGTTAAATGTCGCAATAACAAGGTATATCCAAAGTTTGTTAGTTGGCGAAACCTGAAGTCGGCACGGAATAAACTACGGAATAAATATCATCGCAGCATTCTAAATGACGAAATAAAGGACAAGCACTCTCAACTTAAGGTAAGCAAGAACAGTTTTTCAGTCTCTGGCGACGCTCTCGTTAAGTCTACTACATGGTTACGTGCCTTAGTAATTAAGCATCATGTTAGGACTACTGTAGATAAGGAAATGCGTAAGGTATCTTACCGCCATGGACGTAAATTTAACAACCTTCTACGTGAACATGCAATAATCAATGGAACGTGTAACTACCCTAACCATATAATTACTAACTTAACTGGCGAAACATTATCTAAGGAAGAAGAATCTGTCTTAACATTTGGTATCAGTAATGGATTAACTACACGACCTAAGCACTCTGATATGTTTGTTTATGCTGAATCAATTTGGGAACAACTTAATAATGCTGATGCTCTACCTAAATCAATCATTAAACGTGAGAAAATTAAGAACTCAATTCGTGCAATGACATGTAACTTTCTTCACTTTGATAACCGAAATTTAAATTGTGATGCCAAACGTATTAATACTTTAAAAATCTTACGTAATAAGTATATAATTCTTAAACCTGATAAAGGAAATGGTGATAATGAAGAAAACTGATTATATCACATCTATGACGAACTTGTTCTCTGATTCAACTAAGTTTAAGAAACTAACTAACTGTTCGTTAACCACGCAGCTTAACTCCTTACAAGCCTACCTCCGGACACTATTTAATAGAAATGAACTAACTGAAACTGAATACAAAGAAATTCGTCCAGTATCAACCATGCCTGCTAGAGCACATGGACTACCTAAATTACATAACGATTTTGATAATATTCCACCCCTAAGACCTATTATTGACACGACCGGTACTTGTTATTATTCAGTACCTAAGTTCTTATCAAACTTATTAGGCCCTCTAACGGTTAATGATTTTGTCCTTAAAGATTCTTTTGATGCTGCTGACCGCATTAAAGTAATACCAAACAATTTATATAATTTAGGTTACCGATTTGTATCTTTTGATGTTGACTCTCTGTTTACAAATGTTCTCCTTACTAAGGTAATTAATATAATTCTTGATAGGGTTTACAATAAGAAACTGATATCTACTAACCTTGAGAAAAATTCGCTAAGGAAACTACTTAGAGATTGCTGTACTAAAACTGTATTTACGTGTAAT